TATTCTGTCCAGTTTAGTCTTTCAAATAATCCTAGTTATCTAGTTAATTTTAATAACCAGTATTTCAAGGTGAACGCAAGAAGCCTTAAGCCAGCCCTGGAGACACCAAAGAAAATCCTTTTGCCCTCACCAAGCCAAAGCAAGCTTTAGAAAACCAATCTAACACCAAACAGGGCAGCAGTGTTTTCTGTTTGCATTTGGGCTGAAAGTGCAGAAAGGAAACACACTCAACTGTCTTCACTGGTGAAATTTCAGACAAAGACAGACAGTTTTTGGTGTTGCTACAATCACAAAATCACAGCCTAGAAAGATCACACCTCACTTGGTATGTCACAACTCAAATTAGCTTCTGAAAACAAAACTCCGTTTTCTGCACTAGGTGCAGTTTGCTGCTGTGGTGTAAGAAGTCTCCATTTCTTCTGTTCTGGGAACAGCAACACGTGTTTGGGCGAAGAACAAATCACCTGCCAAAACTAATCTGTGGAAAGAAAAAAACAAAACTCTCCCAGTTTGTTGGCCCCTGAAACGAGTAAACAGTCAGGAAACCATGAAATGGAATAACAGGTATATATTCTACATAACCCCAGATTGAGGAGTTACAGGGCTCTGTTTGCATTAGCAAGTTTCTTCCATTTGACTCTGATTCCCCACTGCCACTCAGGCCCAAAACCGTGGGCTCCCTTGCCTGGACTGGTGCAGTAGCCCCCACCTGGTCCAGCTTCCTCCTGGCCTCATCAGCTCAGTCTCAACAGCACCTGCTGACCCTGTGAAGTGGAGGCCAGGTGTCTTAGTCAGCGTGGGCTGCCACAACAACATACCACAGCCGTCGTGGCTTCAACAACAGACATTTATTTCTCACAGTTCTGGAGGCTGTAAGTCCAAGTTCAAGGTGTCAGCATGGTTGGGTTCTGGTGAGAGTCCTGTTCCTGGCTTGCTTATGGCAGCCTTCTCGCCATGTTCTCATATGGTGGGAGAGAGAAAGAGCTCTGGGCTTTTCCTTTTCTCATAAGGTCACTAATCCCATCATGGGGGGCCCCTCCCTCGTGACCTCATCTAAGCTAAATCCCCCAAGCTCCACCTCCAAATACTATCACATGGTAGGGTAAGACTTCACCATGTGAATTTTGGAGGGGCACAAACATCAGTCTGTAGTACCAGGACATGTCACTCCTCTGCTCAGCTATCTCCAATGGTGGCTTCAAAAAGGCCAACATCCTCATACCAGCCACCAGGCCCTAGAGCTCTATCGGGAGGGCACAGCTTGCTGGTACTCAGGAAATCTGTGAGGGCATTTCTTAGTAGTTGCAGGGACTGGGGGTGGGGGGGTGGGGCAGATAGCACTGCAGAGCCAAAGATCATCCCAAATCTATACACTGCCCTGATGTCTGTCAGGCTCTCCCATAGGCCAAAAACCTTTAATAACTCCCTGAGCCTATAACCTCACTTGTATAAAAGCACAAAAGCACTTTTTGCATAATTTTATACAACTAATCTTCTCAGAATGTAACTACTGTATAAATTAGGTTAAGGTCACACTGCTTTGGTTTGGAGCATTACCAAGAACAGTCCACCATCTTGGAAATCCAGTCACCGTAAGTATCCTGGTGTTTTGATCAGTCTGCATTAGCAGGTACCACATTCACTCAGAAGTGGAGTGTCACCATGTGAGAGCATTTACGTGTTAAATCACATATATGTGAGTAAAAATTACTTTTCTATTATCCCAGTGTTAGATTACTAGCTGGGTAATACATACATTTCTTTTTGAAATTGTGTGTGTAGGTTACTGTCTTATACATTTCATTCCAGGACAGTAGCGGGGGCATTTTTATAATAAACAGTATGTGAAGACAGCACTGTGTCTTTGCGTGACTGGTGCTCTGAGCTCATCTCCCACTACTCTTTCTCTCCTTTATTCCTGACTCCCCTCCAGCCACGCCAAGGTGCTTCCTCCACCATACCAAGGACTCTCCCACCTCGCCCCTGCTATGTTCTGCCTAAAGACTCCCCTGCCACCTTGAGTTCTTGCTAAAATGATGCCTTCTCAGTGGGGCCATCCCTGCTTAAAACTGCAGCTCCCCACCCCAACACCTGGTGCTCCCTAATTCCACTTCCCTGCTTTTTCTTCAATAAAATCCGCTCTTATCACCACTACATAATTTATTTCTTTGTCTGTTTTCCACTAGAATGAAAGCTCTAGGAGGGCAGGATTTTGTCTGTTTTGTTCACTTGCCATATCCTCAGGGCCTAGAACAGCATGGGGTTACCTTTATAGGGGATTTACAGATTAATGGCTTAGAAATACCAATTCTGAAATCTTTAGTCACAACTGCAAGATTAAAACCAAATTAAAAATTCAGGGTCTCTATGCATTACCACTTTTAATCTTTGTGTAGAAATATATACATATATACTGTAATAGACACAGTACACAGATGTGTGGAAATATATATTATATATTTTATACAGCTACTGGTATCCAGGACTGAATTTAACTAAAAAAAGCCAGTCTATTCTCAGAAAAACAATGAGACTTAGAACATATTAAGTTATTACTTGAAATTACTAGACCTTACCGAGATTTCTCAAGTTCTCCCACTTAAGTGTCTTTTAACATCTCCCTGCTCTGCCTCCCTAATCTGTTGCTGGATTCTACTGATTATATTTCTGTCCCACCTCTTCCCTTCCCCCTGCCCGCCTTTTCAGGTCTGCCCTACAGCCCTGGCCTCCCTGTCGCCAGCCCACACTCCCACACTCTGCTGCAGGATTAAAGGTTTAAACCTGTTGAGTCACTCATCTGCTCAGTCACATTAATGGTCCCAGCTTCCTGTTCACTCAAATACAAAAGACTTGATGCTACCATAGGGCTGAACATCCCCTCCAGCTTGTCTCCCACCACCTCTATCCTTAAGCTCCTCCTTAACAGGACCTGTCCCCACACCCCAGACCTGCTGCCTCCCTGGCTCCTTTTGCAGGCCTTGTAGCCCCTACCACCTCCCTTACAAACCCCGGCTCCGTGCTCAAGTTGTGGTACTTGTCATTTCCCCCTATCAGGCTGCAGGCTCCTTGAGGGCAAGGATGGGCTTTTTCTTCTCTGTGCCCTATAAAGTATCCTTCACAGACTAGATTCTCTAAACACATGTTAATTAAGTAAAAGAGAGAACAATTCTTTAAGTTCTAAAGTATGGGAGAGAAGAGGGGCGCCCTGGTGGCTCAGTCGGTTAAGCGGCTGCCTTCGGCTCAGGTTATGATCCTGGGAGTCCTGGGATCGAGGCCCACATCGGGCTCCCTGCTGCTCCCCCTGCTTGTGCTCTCTGTCAAATAAATAAATAAAATCTTAAAAAAAAATAAAAAATAAAGTATGGGCGAGAAGAGACAGATTTTTATGTTTGACTAAGTAACAAACGAGGTGAGACACAGTTTTGCCAGATAGAGTCAAGGCTACCTGTAGAAATTAAGACTTCGACAAGATCAATTTAAAACAATACATGCAGGGAAAAACAAAGCAGAAGAATGAAGTAGCTTGGGCCAAAAATGCCCTGCCTGGGAATGCTGAGACTGAGGGCCCAGCCCTAACATTCAACAGTAAAAATGTTTATCTCAATCCTTGTGTTGAGGATTTGTTGATTTCACCTTTGGAAAAAATCAGAAATTGTGAAAATTTAAAGAACTGTGCTTTTGTTTTAAAAACGCTAAAAGGCGGGCTGCCTGGGTGCCTTAGTCGGTTAAGCACTTAAGGTTTAGGCTCAGGTCATGATCCTGGGGTCCTGGGATCAAGCCCCATGTTGGGCTCCCTGCTCAGCAGGGAGTCTGCTTCTCTCTCTTCCTCTGACCCTCCCCACTGCTTGTGCTCTCGCGCATGCTCTCTCTCTCAAATGAATATATTTTTAAAAAAATTTTTAAATAAAAAATGTTAAAAGGCTTAAATATGAAGGAGAGACAGTACGGATAACATTCCGGGAGCTTGTAATGCAATGCCAAATGCCGGCTCTATAGTGTTCTTGCGGCCACTCACTCCTGAGAGAGCTGGTCCTGTCAGCTGTCTATGGTTCTTGCTGATCCAAGCAGGACCCAGACACGTGAGGCAGGTGGTCTGTGGTACCCCAGCTGCCATTATCTCTGGTTGGTAACTAGGTTTGCTGTCGAACTAATAAAATGATGTGTGCCCTTCTGACATATGCCAATATTTTTCCATCTAAAACAGTGTTTTGGAACATTTTATTATCAAAGGAAAAACATTTGCTGTGCTCATGAAAATAATGAGTCACAGATCAGTGACGAAAGAGAGCATGCTGGTCACACCCTATCTAAAGCCAAATCAGAATTATTACTGGACAGAATAACAGAGACTCTGAAAGCCCCAAATCCTTGGATTTGCATGGCTTTATCCACGAAGATTACTTTGGAAATCAAATACAATTTCCTAGCTGTAGGACTCCACTCTGCTAACTATCACCAGGAAGACCTGATCATAAAAAAGGAGGCATGGCAGATTAAATGAGAAAACAAGCTCAGTCTTTCACTTCCTTCAATGTAAAGACCCAATAAAGTGGCTAACTTGGATGAATATCAAATTTTATAGCCTTCAAGTATTTCAGCCTCTATAAAAACAAATGAGTAATTTGAGGTTACAGAAGATAGTTCTTATGATTATAAGATTCTAATCATTAGGTAGAACTTAAAAAAATTTAATGGAGTATGTCTTTGTGAAAGACCTACCAGCCAGAACTATTAATAGAAAAGCCTAGAGCCACTTAAACATGAAATCTGGAAAGAAAAAAAAAAGATAAAGCTTGCCTCTTCAGTTGATGCATTTGGTGAATGATCCCTTCAAGCTGTAAACGTACCCTCTGAGTATAATTCTCTCTCCTCTCCTTGACTCCACTATCCTTTTTTATTTTATTAAAAATGTGTAACTGTTTTTCTCTTTTTCTGGCATATGCTTCCTCGGAAGCAGCTGAGCAAATGCCCTTGTCACCCAAGGACCAAATCCAAATTACCTTCTTTTAAAGTCCATTTGATCGAGCCTGTCCTCTTGCTAACAGCATGCAAACTTCCATCCAGAGTTGACACAAACAACAAGGTTTCAGGAAGTGTCACTGTGCTGGGACTTCCAAAAATCTGCAATGAGATGTAGAAGAATCTTCATGTTCAATAGGATTCTTCATCTTGGGCATGTACAACCACACACAGACCCCACCCACACCCCCAGGACATGCCAAAAGTTATCCTTCTAAAATCCACTACCTCACAGACAAAGACGTTGAGGTTACAGAGCCTATGTCCAAGGGCCCATGTCTAGACAACAGCCGAGTCAGGACTAGACCCAGGTCTCTTTATACTATCTAAGAAGCAATCCTTCCTGCAGACAGAAAGGCTTATAACCTGATATGACAAAGATGGGGATTCTGAAATAATCCATGGGTAGCCTCCACTGAAACAGGGAGATATGCTCAGCTTTCTAATGGACTTCCTTCTCTTGGTTACACTTCACTTTCTAAAACCTGGTCATCTTGCAAGGCTCCATGGTAAAGAAGAATGCCAACACACCCGCATATACCCAAGTGCACTTACAGAATTTTAAAAAGGCAAAGAATTAGGGGAAAGCATTTAAAGCAAAATAGGAAAAAACAACTCTCATTATATAAAAAATTTATATAACAATAAAACACCAAGATTTCAAAAAAGACAGGTTATAAAATATATGAAAAACATAACCCAAATTGTTCTTCATTATCATCAAAATATAATTGAAATAAAAATGTATCTTTTATGCTTAATGAGTTAAAACACGCACTCTCTTTACAGAAAATAGCCAAAGGTGGTGAAATTTACTTTCTCATCCATTGTTGGTGGCAATGAAAATTATAAGTTGGTGCACTCTTTCTGGAAAGCATAAAAGTGCTCAGATTTTTGATCCTATAATTCCACTTCTATATCCTAAAGAAACAGTTCCAGATATGGAAAAAGTCGTGTGCACAATGATGCTCATTGTATCCCATTTACAAACACAAAAACTGGAAAGATCTGAATTTCCAATGATATCTTAAAGACTGAAATAAATTATGACACATACATTCAGTGGAATATTATGTAATCATTAAAAATAGCACTTCGGAAAATTTACAGCAAGGTACAAAAATGCTTCTACCGGTCTTCACGTGAAAAATATCGAATCCAAAATTCAATGTACACTGTGATGATGATTCTACTGGGCAGATTTTTTTGGTTTGCTTATCCTCCAGATTTGCTAAGAACTGTACCCTCACCCACGCGGTTTCCATGGAAGCAGCTGTGTGCGCACATGCATGTACGCCCATGCAAGGCACACATGTGCAGGTGACAGCTGGTAAGGTTTCCCCTTTGAGTCTGGGCCCATTCAGCAATGCCACCTTGTAGTAAGATTTTCTCCTTGTCACCATATAGTCCCACAAATTATCTGGTTCCTGTGGGTCTTAAATTAAAAACAGGCCAACACAACTTGCTTATACTGTGAGAGTTTGGGTTTTGGCACAAAATTTTTAAAATACAGGAATATGGCTGGCTTTTAGCACTAAACAAGACTGGGGGTTTACTTGTGCATGGCAGCCTGACCCCAAAATAGCTGCCCACTCTTGGTAAGAACCAGGATGGCATCTAGTTAATTCCTTAAGAAGGAAAACCCAATGGCTCCCTTCAAAGCAGCCCGAGATGGCAGGACAAACACCTGGTCCCTGCATTCCTTCTCCACTGTGGAGACCCACTGGCAGAGGGGACAAAGCAGCTGCTAGAACCTCACTCTCTCCTCCCTCGCCTGCTCCTGGCCTAGAGGCGAGGAGGTTGCACCCTTTCCTTTGCCCAGAGCCAGGGCCCGCTCACCTGGAATGGGAGAACCAAGAGCAAGCTTCCTCACTGCCTGCTGAGTCTATTCTCAGTGTAAAGCCTCAAGTCTGAGGAAGAAGAGTCTGCTTTTTACCTGGCTGGGAAAACAGAAGCCTCAAGGGTGGTGCCTGCCCTAGCAGGGAATCCAGAGGTCCTGCATACCCAGTGTTTTGGGGATGAAATTCTTTTAGCCTATAGGGTATAGATGGTGACACGCTTCATCTGAACCTGCTCACACCTGAACCAGAGAAACACTCACTGCGTAGAGCACATGCGCCTGCAGAACAGTGGCCCAAGGGCAAGACCACTGAAGGCTGTAGCTCAGTGAGCCTGAGGGCTATCTCCCACTGAGAAGGTCAAATGGCTCTGCAGCTGATGGAGGACAGTGGGATCACGTCAGGTGGGGGCTGTCTAAAGACTGAATAAATAAAAAGGAAAGAGCATGCACACCTGGGGACCAAGAGGTGGAAAGGCCTGCTGAACCCCCCTCCACCTGTCAAACGGCTCCCCGAGGAACAGGCATGTTGTACAATAGGTCTTGGGATGACACAAGAATTGCTTTGAACTCTCTGGGTCACTGAACTGGTAAGCAATTAAACTCGGGAGATTTCCGTGAATGTTTGCTGGATGGGGGAGAGACAAAGACTGAAATGGAGAAAGATGCCTGAGAAGACACACAGCTGACAGAGGGAGAGCGTGTGCCCTGGCTTCTACTCTTCCTCAGGCCAACTTCCTGTCCTTGGGCTCAGAAAGCCTTACAAGAAATTGCCCCTTTGCTTACATTTCTTGGAACTAGATTTCTGTCCCTCACAACCCAAAACTGTCCCAAAAGAAACACAAACACCTCTATTAAAAAATAATAAGTAAATATATATATATAGAAAAAAGATGAAGGAAATACTGCAAAATCATAGCAACAGGTTTTTTTTCCTCTTGTATTTTCTAAATTTTCTAAAATATCGTGTAATCAGCAATGAATTTTTCATAAAATACAATGGAGATGGACAAGTTAGCAGGTGGGAGGGAAGCTCAAATTTAAAGGAGCTTCAGCAAGCCCTTAAGTTCCAGATGAAGCGCTTTCCACATTAGGATTCTCAGACAATTCAACCACCTTTGATCATTAATACCCCCCACCCAGAAGCAAAAGTTTAGAAACAAAGAGGTCCCTCGGTAAGACAGTGTGTATCCAAAAATAGATGAGTTTTGTCATTGTTATTAAAGCCTACAGTACAATTTTAATGAACTGAATGCCCCCAAATACATCTTATCACAGTATTAATATTAAAATGGGTCAATATTTACTAAAACATATCAGTGCTGCTTCATTACTAGTGTGGAAACAAAAGCCACCTGCCTTGTCTGAGCATCTTGGAAACCACAGAAGAGCAATTGTCTATGGTTGGTTGGTGAATCGAAATAAAACACTAATCACATAACTAACATAGTCTTCTGAAAATCTCAAAAATACCAGGTTTGGCTAGAAGGTGAACTTAGCAACTGAGAGCACCGACGGTTAATCACAGTGTCCACACTGACGTCACAAACCCTGTCACAACAGGCTTCTCGCTTCTTTGGAGGCTGCTGACGGCTCCCAGTGAGAATGTCTGGGGAACCATTCTGAACAGTGTTATGCTTTCACATGGCAAATTAACAGGACAACATTTCTGGCTTTTCTCCGCCGGCATTTTTGAAAGCGTGAAAATGCCTGCCTTCAGATACAGTTGCTATTACTAAGGTGAATTAAATAAGCTTCTAGAAGCCTTTTGGGATACTGAGCATGGCTGAGAACCATTTGTACCTGAACATCTAAAAATGCTGCTTCACAATAATGACCTTGCACGTTACCTCACCCAGCCATTTTAGTGGCCGGGGCTCCCTTCTCTCTACGATGGATGAAATGGCCGGAGGCCCTACCATCACACGCGCTCATTTCTGGAGAGCCTGAAAATGGAAATGGAATGCTGATTCTGTAGATCTGCTTCAGGTTGACTACCTGGCATCTGACTCATTTTTCCAACGAGTGGGATATGTACTCCTGGCGGCTTTGATGGAGACTTTTTTTTTTTTATTTAAATTTTTTAAAGATTTTTATTTATTTGAGAGAGAGAGAGCATGAGCCCAGTGAGGGGCAGAGGGAGAAGCAAAATCTCTGCAGAGCAGAGAGCCTGATGTGGGACTCGATGGGATCATGACTCGGGCCAGAAGGCAGACACTTAACTGACTGGAGCCACCCAGGTGCCCTGATGGCGACTTCTAAGAAGTTATCACAATGACACTGTGGAGGGGGAGAATGCTAGTGGCCGGTAACCTAGTCTAACCTAACACTAAACATCCATCAGCCAGCTGGTCCTCATGGAAGCCTGACCACACACGCTCTCTCCCAGGAGGTAACAGTGCTGCAAACACCCAGCCGGAGAACTATGCATGAAGCCTGGCAATTCAGGGCAGATGATGCTGGGCAAAGGGCTGCTAGTACCACCAACTTATTTCATGTAGGTTCATTCAGTGGTGGTAGAACAGCCCTCACTGCAGCCCTGCTCAGCCAGGAGTCCAACAAGAGCCTTCCTCCCATGAAAACAAAGGCAGTACTGGCACTGCATCCTCATGTTCAAGGTTCTGATGGTAAAGCAAAGCCCAGCACCTACACCATTTCATAAAACACACCACTCACTTTGCCTTTACTTACCAAGATGTGGAAGCAACTACCAAAACTTATATAGAGATGATTAAAATTAGAATTTCGGGCGCCTGGGTGGCTCAGTTGGTTAAGCGACTGCCTTCGGCTCAGGTCATGATCCTGGAGTCCCGGGATCGAGTCCCGCATCGGGCTCCCTGCTCGGCAGTGAGTCTGCTTCTCCCTTGGACCCCTCCCCCTTCTCATTCTCTCTCTCTATCTCATTCTCTCTCTCAAATAAATAAATAAAATCTTTAAAAAAAAATAATAAAATAAAATAAAATTAGAATTTCATTCTAATATTCTAAACTCAGCTACTTGTTAGTTGTTCTTGCATTAATTAACTCAACCCCTTATATTTCAGGTAGGAAAAAAATCTTTCCTAAAACGAGTTCTGAAATAACTTTGTTTAGAAAATGTCTCCAGGGGCGTCTGGGTGGCTCAGTTGGTTAAGCGGCCGCCGTCGACTCAGGTCATGATCCCAGAGTCCAGGGATTGAGTCCACATCGGGCTCCCTGCTCAGCAGGGAATCTGCTTCTCCCTCTTCCTCTGCCCCTCCTTCCCCCACCCCCGCCCGCTCATGCGC